GGATGGACGCACACAGGGCAAAACATAAGTCCCCGTTTTCGGACTGCGTCCGAACGGGGACTAATAAATCAGTCAAAAAGTATTCCTAAAACAATGATGAAACTAGTTATGAATTAGAAATGAAGTAGTTATGCATCTTCACCCACCTGTCATCATCATTTGAACGCGTTCCAAATTCACAACACCATCTTTAGTAAGGTAACCCTGCAAAATAATTATCACTCGTGTAAATGTATAGTACCCAGGAGTGAAATTTGGGGTCAATGACCTTGAATATTTTTGAACATTAATATTTTTGTCACCAAAGAAACAGCTATGTAACTTGTTTTGATTGTTCAAATCATACATGCGTTTTCACATCCCAGAGTTTTCTCTTTAAAATTGGATTGTTTATTTGTTGAAAACTGTCCATTTTTTAACACTGCCATTAGTTAAGGTAATCAATCAGTTTCAGTCTTAAACGAGGTTTATTTTTCCAATACTACATCTTCTACACTACAAACACCCAGGATCTTCAGTTCTGATTTAAAACAATATAAATTGTCATTCGTTATGTACTATCAGTATAAGGTAAGTGGTTTCTGAAGTGATAGATCTTCCTCCTTATTGTATACTGACGGGAATGACTGAAAGGAGAGGTGTGTCAACTTTATACCGATGATCATCAATTGCACTGAAACAAATATTCCTTACCCCAGTCTTGAAAACAGCTGTCTTGTATATACGTATTAGCCTATCAATCGCACCCTCCCTGAAAAGACGAGTTAAACCATGGTTTAAAAACAGACACTGTAAAATGCTTAATTTTCGCTGCTAAGAATTTCTGCAGTTTGATAGCTTTCATGAACATTTTGTTAACATCACATTACTCCTGAGAAGTGTTCTGTGCTACAAAATTTGAAAATTTTTAATGTCTTACAAAATTCTTTCTACATTACCAGCACTGAACAATGACTTTACCCAATAGCACAAACATTTTTTTTAAACACCCAAGACGATGTTTCATTGTAAATTAAATTGATACAAAAACGCATTTACAGTTGTCATTAAGATGATTTTTCTTTCTGCCATTTTCCACATATCTAAACATACGTAATAAACATAAAAAAAAAGATATTTAAAGTTTACAAAACTTTTACCTGATTTGCAGCGATGGTAAATGTGGTAAAAAGTCATTGCCGACGAAGAAACACATAAATACCCAGTCGTCTATAGCTCTCTATGTATAGGGAATAGAACACAAATAAACACAAAATGAGAATATAAAAATATTCTTCTATCAATGGTAACTATGGTATTCATTTTGAAATAAGACACAAGCGCATTAGCACGCTTGTCAAAAAGATTGCCATACACAAAAACGTTACTCTATGTGTGATTGGTAGCACTTGCAGGGTAGCGAAACACGAACTACACTTACCTCAAAGTCGAATGTGAAGGGAAGACCAGTCATAAACAGTTCTTTTTCAAGATACTGCATCAATAAAAAAAATTGTTACATTATAGCATGACAGAGACACCAACTGAGCCACAGTATAAAATTAAATAAATTTTTTTCTTAGAAAAAAATTTTTTGGAACTTACCTCTCTTAGGATGTTCAAACGTAGAAATATGAACTCTTGCTCTTGAACAAATGGCTTTGTCAACTCATCAAACTAATAAAACAAAATTATTAGATGTCAATTTTTTTATATAAATTATGTATATTGTTAGTTGCATCTTTAATGTTTGTAAATTTCTTTTTTGACAACTCTGATGAAATGCAATTCACTAGTTAAAAATTAAGTTTAAAAACATTAAGAATTTATAAATAACAATTTAGCACAATTAAATTTCATGTCACAAACGCTATACAGCATCTTGTTTTCAAACATTAAAGTTGAAAGTAACAATATGATCGACACAGTCTTAATATTTAAAAAATAACAGGTGTAAGCCAGGTGCAGCTGTAATAACGATACAAGCAAGAATCACGAAATAAAATGAAATAAAAAAAGCCGTACCTCTCCTTCCTTTTCTTTTGCAGCACCGGTACATTCCTTCATCTCGTGACCTTAAAACAAATCGTTAACAACGTATCACTATTTGTCAGAAAACAAAGATCTTGAGAGATTTTTTTTTAAAGGTTAACATGAATTTCTCGCAAAGAGACGCGGATATGTCTTTACAAAGACAGCATTAAAACTTACCATACTGCCCACACAGCTCACATGCCCTTGGCGCATTGGGTTTGAACTCTTCTCGAATGATAGTGAAATAAGGTTCATGCGTCGCAAGTCCTGAAAACAAAAACAATATATGACATAGTTGGATTTATTTCATTAGAAATGTCAATGTCTGGTAATATATTCAAACACCTTGACAATAAAAATATAACCCATTGTTACAGTGTAGTAATTAGCTAACCTGTGGCCATATGTAAACAGTTGTTACAAGTGCATCTTTTCACTGAAATAACATAATCTCACTAGAACCTTGAAGAGCACAAGGAAAAAGTCTAAAATCTAACAGATGTGAATAATACTTCAAGCACATTACATCTCCATGGCATTCCTGGAGTCAGCTGAAACAAGTTTATTCATAACACGATGCATTTTTAGCGAAACAAGACAACTCATAAGAACTGGTAAATAATGTCAGTATGGGGGGGGGGGTTAAAATATTTTTGACACATTTTAATACACAAAAGATTGATATTGTGCGTGGAATTATTGGCTTACCTAACATGATGAGATCCGCTATAAGAAGAGTGAAAGAAAAAAGAAAACACAGTTAACAGACGACAAACACGGTTTGTATAAAATGCAGTGGTCTCAGATTTCAATTGCGAAAACAAACTTAAAAGGGATTGAAAGTTACTGAGGCTGTTCTTTAGAGACTGAATTATTTATACAATAAAGTATCTATATTAGTTGAAAACATAATACATGTTTACTATATATTTGATTCACAATATGTAATTTTTTTTACCCCATTCACAAGAAAAATTATTAAGAAATGTTGATTTTTTTTAATTGGTAACATCTATATGATGTGGCCATTTGAATTGGATGTTGAATATCATCATTCTTTACACAGGTTATAGTTTGATTGGCTGCTGGAGTTTTCTACACTCACCATCAGCACCACACAGACAGTGATGAGTATTCGGGTCGTGATCTGGACTGCCTGAAACAGAAAAAAAAAAAAACTTTTATAACACTCTTTTTCAGTAAAATTCTTGTACAGGCACTGCTAGATTTTCAACTGAATTTATTTTCACCTCATTTCATCAACAACAAAAATACTGAATTTCCAAATATAAGAAGGCCATCCTTGAATAATCAAGATGAAAGATATTCAGTGCTTTGCATGTCAAGGCATGGTCAGATGGTTGTTTTAATGCTTTTCCTTATAGTTGATGAATTATTTGTTGCACAGACCAAGGTAATTTTGTCCTTGTATATATACTTAGCTGGCACAGAACAAAATGGAAGCTCAGCCATTCCTCGAAATTGACAATGTTGCATATTTGCAAATAAATGCCGAGCTACCTCTTTGCTTCCGGATATAATCCATTATTTTATGCTCTCCTTCACCTGGCACATTAGCATCTGATAAAATTACCTGGGAAAGATAGGGAAAAAAAACACGACAATTCATGGTAAATACGTAGTCCCTGCCAATAATTTAATATTGTGCATTTGAAAAAGCCTAAAAAAAGGTTTGTAATGGTAATTTTGATCCAGGGAAACAGATAGAAACATGGTTGCCAGACAGCCATCTTGAATTGGATCTCCAAAAAAATAACTTGATGTACACTATTCATCATACCAAGTTTAATTGAAATCGATCTATGAAACCAATTTAAGTATTAAAGCGCCCATGCCCGGGCAAGCGCCCACCCCCACTTTTGCGCAATTTTTATATTTGGGGTCACATTCGGCAAAGCGCCCACCCCTTCAAAATGCAACTAATTTAAAACTTGGTCTTGCATAACGAATATTGGTAATCGTTTTTATATGATACAGCTTGGATATCACGTGCGTGGATATCGACCGCTGTGAACATGTTGTGAATGCGTAGAACACTGTAACAGTGCGTAAACTATGCTTCAACAATGACCTGTCAAATACAAGTAAAATGCAGTAAATATTTCATGCCATATTCAGTTTACCTCTCAAAAATGGCTAGTTACTAGTTTTTTGGAAAAAACATGTCGTTTATTCGCTGAAATCAATTCCAACAGATCGTACTTCGACATTGATAATTCACTTCCGCAATGCGTTACCGGAAAGTCTTTGGGAATTTCCGAAGAATTGCGTCAGTATAACACAGTATTCTTATTGGCTAATAACCAACTTGACCTATTAGGTCAAAGGACGCTGCTGAAGTTCAAATGCATCATGGCGGAAAGTGATTTTCATCGAGAGTTTGCGTACGATCCAACAGATAATATGGCAATTTTGACTTTGACCGTGTTTCAACAGACGTAAATTCTGGTGGTACGTAATTAATATTGTAATAAAATGTGCATATTTTTTGTGATTATTTCTGTTTCTTCATTGTGAAAATCAATGACGACCCAACTAATTTTGTAATTTGATTTTCCCTCAAAGACGTAATCTGTTACTTGATGAATCAAATTTTTCATTTGTACTCTTTTTCGAGGGGGGTGCTCGGGTAAGCGCCCACCCCTAAAAAATCGTGATTTTCTGAGTTGAGGCCCCTGGGCGCTAACGCAGTTGAGTACGGTAATTTGTTTAAAGCAATATAGTTGGAACATAAACATGTCAGAGATATGGAACCAAAAGCTGATGCTTGATTATGATGATTTTTTAACATTAAAATGAATAACATTCAGTCATCTTATATCTTATCATCTAATGAGTACTTGTCCATATTGAGAGATACTGCTCTGGAACAGTATTAATTAAAAAAAAGTGGTCATCGGTCGGTCATTTTAAATACATTTGTATATCTAGACATGTATATATGATGTATAATGAATATACAAAATTTAAACATAATCAGTCAAAGCATGTAAGAGATATGGTTTAAGAGCCACATTCATTAAAACAAAATGGCCGCCAGTCAGCCAATTTGAATAAGATCTGAAAAACAAAATGCAGTTTGAATGAATGATAAATGTGTGAATATTTGTTGGGGTTTTATTATGTACAAGGTGTTTTGAATTTACCTTGACTTTACTCCAGCCTGGATCAGTCATGATTCGTTCGGTAACATAATATCTCAGACAGTCAGCAAGTCTGAACATGAACTCTGTACCCTGTAACAAAATGGAAGTTAAAAATCAAATGGCATATTACAGCAATTCCAGGCACTGGTTCAACGCTGAAATAGTGCTAGATATAGATAACATACTACAATAGGTTACACACTTTGTTTTCACATTTATATAAGTTGCAACTAGAAATATAAACATCGACTGCAAATCAGAGGAATGATTGACAGATATTGCCACAATGTTTTCTATTTTTGCTACGAAGTCCGATGCACCCAGACTTTGCGGTGCGTCTGTCCTCAGTCACTTTTGGTCAGTCATCGTGTTGATTGCATGTCTACAAATCGGAATTTGTATAATAAGAGCGACCAATCCGCGACTAAAAAACTGACAACGTTATAGACTATGATGAATATTATAAATTGAGACGAGAATTTACAAACAGTATTAAATTCAACAAAACTACTCAAAGACGGTGTATGTACGCGGCAACCCTCCCGGACATGGAGTAAACATGGAGGTGTTATTTTGAATAAAAATGAGTTTTGTGTAAAAACAGCAGGGTTTTGTAAAAAAAGAAAGCTGAAAAATCACTGCAGCATCAGCATTATTTGGTGGCACATCAACCTTTTGGTTCTCATCATCGAGAACTAATAATTGAATAACACCCATTCTACTTATGTATTCAATTTCATTATTGATATACTGGACGAAGTCTTCATAGGACGTTTGTCGCAGGCAGCTTTCAGTTATATCATGGTTTAGTAACCGTGGTTATATAGATCGGCGTGATACGGATATTTCCATAGTAGGAATACCGGTAATGCACTTTGATCAACAATTCTGCCATGATCAGTCGGTCAGCTGGTTCTGTAAAATAGCTCACTGAAATAACATGTGACGCAAATTGAAATAGGAAACTAAGTTGAGAGCCTCGATTGTTTATTGGAGGAGAAATGCAAAAATAATGTATCACCACTTTTATGGGCAGAGCTTTCTTCCGGTGCGCTTCAAATTGCAGACATGCTGTCTGCATTATTTGTAACAACTTTTGTAATTGTGAAAACAAAGTGTGTAACCTATTGTAGTAAGTTATCAACATCTAGCACTACTTCGACATCAAATCAGTGCTTGAAATCGATGTAATTATACTGACATTATGACAGGACAAGACAAGTTCATAGCACATTGCAGGAAAACAAGATCAATACTACTACCACTAGACTAGAATATTTCACAACACCTGAGTCATAAAGTATGTATTTAACTTACCGGGGTGATACAGTTGCTGTCAAACTTTTCTGACACTGGTTTGGGAGGAGGGAGTGTGCCGCCACGGGAGAGAATCTCTTCCTTCACCTTATCAATTTCAACTTGCTTCTCCCTGAAAATTGTTTTATAAATACATATTAAATATATATATTATCAATTTTATAAGATTTTCATAACCAAGTATGGGTATATGCGATGAAGGTCTCACGAGAAGCCACCAAAACCCAGTCTGTCATTACCTGACTTCCTTAGGACCACGAAACCTCCTCGACCTCTGCTGATTCATCTTGGCACGGGGTGCCACGCCGTCAATCGCCATATACAACAGCCTCCTGGGACGAACAATTCGCATGAGCCGGTCGATACATTCAAAGATGGCCAACATCATTTCATCTTCATTTTTAGGGGCAGGTCTGTAGAGAATCAAAAATACAAATAATAGCGCCTCATATAATGCTGGTAAAACAGTCTGATAAAAGGATATCATTTCCAACTATAATTACAGCAGGAACAAAGCAAAGTACTGTAACTTCTGTAAAGACAACATTTTTAAAAACTTTAAGGCAGAATAAATTCACTGGTATTATTTCGAGATGAATTGTCGGCAAAACTAAGTTGACAGTTCTTTCAGTTTTGAGTAACTTGGCCCAAAATCAAATCTGTTATACTGATAGAAACCCGACGTATTGTGCCATCTATCAAATAAGTTATTATTAGTCTTAACTATAATAAACCCTGTTATGCATTGCTCTTTGAATTCTACTTCAGAAGTGTGCTTAACAGAACCAGCCTAGGAAGTATGTAATGTTTGGTGTTTTCTCTGACGCAGTGGTAACATGTGAAATAGCTGTTCTAAAAAATTTAAAGGGAGTGATCTAATGGCTGTATAATGGAACCAACTCAAGAGTCTAGTGTGCAAGTAAAACTATCAGTATAAGACAGATTTTAAAATAAAATCAGAAAAAAAAGACAAATAATACATACCCTAAATAGCGTCTAGTTATGGAACTGTATTACTTTTACTGTCATGGCCATATTGTTTTGTACATCAAAACTACAACACTACCAGCTCAGTTGCTGATCACGTCTCGTGATGGAACTGGGTTAACTTATCTTGACATGTGCATATCAAAAACAGTCAGCGAGTGAATTGGAAACAATGCTAGTTTGATGTACAAAACAATATGATGGTAAAAGTAACCAATGCTTGAACTGTAAAATCAAGTATGGTACTGTAAAACCAATAAAAAAAGGAAGCCAACTAGTAGACTATTTCACTTACTTATTTTCGGGATGGCAACACGGATGAATTATACCGTTCATATCCAGATACAGATTATCAAATTCTATTTCATTGGGATTCGGCTCAGTAATATTAACTGGTACTTGTATGCCATGCACTTCTTTGGGCTGAAAAACAAAAAAACATGCATTATTGAACATGTTATACTGGTAAATGTATACAGAGAAGGCAACCTGTCAAATTCAAGATCAAGGCTTTTTAATTAGTTTTTATCTCATTCAAAACTTTCATTTACCATATATCATTTAAAAGCATAGATATACATGTAGAGAAACAAATTTGAACATTCTAATAGTCATTTGTTTACATAAGTGCCATGTGACAGACTAATTTTCAAACCATAAAAACTTTGTGCATCCTAAGGAAATCCAGGTGTGTTAAGTTAAGTTTAAGGAAGTATTATCAATTATAAAAAAACAAGCAGCCTGTCGGCTGAGATAGCTCCGCTGTTATCAATGCACATTTCAATTAAAGAACTCAAGATATCATTAGAAAATGAACAATATGTATAGTATTAAAGCAATCAGACTTGCTTTTTTCAAAAAAATTTGAAAATATAACTTTTTATCAAAAACATTCATTAAAATTAGATAACTGAAGAACAAAATCATCACGAAATGAGAGAGGTCTACCTGTAGTACCTATGTAGTATATATAATATCAAAGCAATTAGACTTGCGACTTTTAACAAGAAGTCGAAAATATCACTTTTTACCAAAATGACGATAATATTCATGAAAATTAGAGAATTAAAGATATCATCACGAAATGAACAAATCTGAGACCAAAAATATTCGCTATAAATATGACAATTGAACATATCCACACGAAATGAACAAATCTGAGAGAGAACCACCCAAGGTACCTTCTTAGAAAGTTTCATAGCTATACAGTTTGTGGTTTTTAAGAAGAAGTCGAAAATGTAAAGTAGTTGACGGCGACGGACGCTGACGGACAATCAGTAATACTTCATCATCAGTGGAGCTAAAAAAAAGATTTTTTTCCTTTCCGCTACCTTAAGCTGTTTTACATTGCTTGGCCATTGAAATAACATGCTCTATTATTTGCATTGTGACAAAGCATACATGCAAAGCATAATGTATTATTATGCAAATCGCATCATGTCTGGGTATTCACTAGGAGCATCGTCCGCCTGCACGGTGTTGTTCCGTTCGGATATTTCTCCCTCTACAACACCGTGCGGTAATTCTATTCATAACCGTGTATGTCATGTGGTTGCGCGATAGAAAGTTTATCGACCAATAAGAAAGCTTTGTTACAATGACTGCCAGAAACGGTTGGAGCTTTGCATTTCTGATGCCTTTGGCTTCATTTCTGCCGATATATCTTGCAGTGACATCATGAACTTTGAGGTATAACACCTACTCTTCTATAATACTCAACAGTGGTGACAACACTATTACCACGTTCGA